ACAAATGTTTTCCTCTGACATAGCATATAAACAATAATTTTGTTATTTGGCGAAAAAGAAAATGAATTCTTAATTATATACTATAGCAATAAAATCATATTGAAAATGATTTTAAAACAATCATTTTGATATTTTGTCAGTAATCATGATCACTATTAATAATCAAATAAATCATTCATCATTTCATTTTACTTGTTCCTAACTTTAAAGTATAGTCTCAAAGAGACTACCCTAACAAGTTTTCTTTTCTTAATTTTTAGTTTAGTCAGTGCTGAGCGTTTAGCAAGATTTTATCTTCATCCAACGAATGATTATTTTATCGGTCTTCATATCTCAGTAGCTAGTATGTTTATTGCATTACTTGCATTTTTTCTCGTTCGTATCATCTTTTAATATGACTGGACTTGTTCTTCTAATGTTATCTCCGTTAAAAATGCTTAAATTATATAAGCTTCTGCTTCTATCCTTTCTTCGTCGATATTTACATTATACTACTCAAAAGCACGGCATATCTTTCCTAATAACTCGAATTTGTGTTTTTGTATAATCATAATAAACTAAATTTTTAGTTTATATACGATGTTGTTATTCGATACCTAGAATTGATTACTAAAAAATTCCACTAAAACATGTTGAAAAAGGCGCAAAATACTAATTATATCAGCATGATTCACTTATTTTTACTTGTTCTCTTCAGTATACGATATTTTTGCAAAATTTCAGAAGTTTTTTTCTTTTTTTATGATCAAATAAAGCATTGATTATTCTATCAAACTGTATAATTTTTATTCGATTGATTTTGCATTGTGATCACAATTAAATAATCAATTTGAAGCAATCGGGTGTGGGCGCGTGTGGGATATGGAATGGATATACCTTATTTCACTCGTACAGACATCCACATCAACACTATCACACATCCGTTGTTAAATGCTGAAAAGAATGGATTTAAAGAATTGAAACCTTTGTGAAGAGCTATCATGCATCTAGAAAACGTTTTGAAGTATTTCATGCATATTTACAAAACTTTTTAAAGAGTTTCGAATCGGACTGAATTCTCGAAATTCTTTTTAGCTTCCAAATCCTGCATCAAAGCTTTGTCAAGTTCTATATCGCATTATTTTCTTCTGTGCCGTGCCCATAGAAACCAGTTATAAAGCTTTTTTTCTTTTATTTGTGAAAGAAACACAGTGAATTACCGATATAGCTATTTTTTTTATCTCTGTTTGGATAGTTGATATAAATTCAAATAAGAAAGAAAATGAATGAAATTAGAAATAAGAAAGATCAGAAATGTGAATTGTCGCTGTGTTACACAAGTTATAAAAGAGTTCTACGACAAACAAATAAACCATCTTACATTCACAAAAAAGTCAAATGAAATTGATTACTATCACCGTTGCAATTTCCTAGACACATTTAGTTTTAATTGTTTTGTTGTGGTGAATGACTAAATAGGATGATTTGTAAATCTAAAATGAGTATTCTAAACGTCATAAACATAGCGGACATATATTCCCCCTTGTCATTAGTCAAAATCTCACAAAAAAGACATCAAAACAAGGAAGACAAATCTTTCAAAATGGAAATGAATAATCATCATGTTTCTTGCTACTGAACAATTATACTAACTGAAGACGATATGTTGTTTGTTCGTGATACTATTCATCGGAATGAAAAATGGTATTTAGAAATTTAGACTATTCAATCCATACACTTTATCATCTATTTGAACATACGTTGGATCATGTCTCACTTTCATTTCACAAGTACATCCCAAAATAGAGGAGACATCCTGATAACTTATTACATTACCGAAAAGTAAAAAACTTTTTTTGTGTAAATATAATGTTAACCAGATGTGAAAAATTCATCCCAAATTATATACACATGCCTTCATAGTTGAAGTAATTGATAGGATATGAAAATTACTTTTGTTTTTGCTGCAAATCTTCCGGTCTCTCATTGGTTTTGTTGGAAATATGTTTTTAGTACTTAGAATGTAATGTTCGACAACCAATGAAAGTTCAACATTATTTTATCTTTTTCTCAATACTTTTTTATTTTATTATAGCAAGAGGAGTAGGTTTTCGAATGGGATTTTTGCACTCAGTATACAGCGGATTATTTTCTACGACAATCAACTATTGCCGATAGCTATTTAAGCAGCAAGGATTTCTCAATCACTTCAAGTACACTGATGCTAAAGTCTTAGACAACTATAAAAAAAGATTTTGATCGTCTTCTTTTGTGAATATTATAATTCTCAGGTAGATTCATTTGTTTATTTTCTTTTGTCGATATCAATGTGGTGTCTCTATATTTCATTCTATTTCATATAGGTAATTGATGGATGTCCTCAGTATCCACAAGCGAGAGACCTCTACATAACGGCCTCCAATCATTATTTCCTTTTCTTTCCTGCATACGATACTCACATCATATACTTTTCTCTCGCAGTAACGACGGCGTGTCTTCGAGCGTGACAGAACGAATAATGTGGTATATTTTCTTCGTGCATCTTCGCCTAGCATTCAATCTTTTCTTAGTGCCTCTTTTTCTTTTTGGCATATTTATCGCAAATGATCTCAGGAGCTTTTTCGCTTGGCCCTGCATTACCCAATTTATCATCATTCACATCTTTCTTTATGGTGGAGTGAATGCACTCAATTCCTACTATGATCGTCACGAAAAAGGACCCATTGGTGGCATAATGCGACCTCCAACTGTCATCGGCGATTCCCTATTCTATTTCGCTTGGTGTTGGAAAATGATTGGCTTCATATTAACATTGCTATTATATCCTAGTCCGACAACACTCGGATTGTATCTTCTAGCGATTGTCTTTTCAGTGGCCTACTCTCATCCAATGATTCGTCTGAAGAGCAAACCATGGACCAGTTTAATAGTTGTTGGACTTCTTCAAGGAGTTGGTCCCTATTTTCTTGGCTACACATGTACGAGACAAGCATGGAATTTACGCTTTTTTACCGGCATACCACCAGCTGTTCTTACTTCTATTGGTATTTATCCGCTCACACAAATCTATCAAATCGAACAAGATAAGCAACAGAACGATCGAACATTGGCTGTGCATTTAGGAATTCAAAATTCTTTTCTATTGGCAATTGTGTCTTTTACTATGAGTACTTGCTACTTTATTGTCTTTATTATCGATCGTTGGTATTCAATACTGGTTGTAGGAATCTATTCTACTTGGTTTATATATCAAATTTCTCGATGGGCAACCAGATTTTGCACACTATCACAAAAAGAAAACTTCGTGATCTTACATCGTTTGATGACTTTACATGCGAGCAGTTTCATACTTTTCATGCTGGTTCATACGTGCTTGTCAATAGATCGATAGATTGAAGTTCAGTTTCTGTATTATTCTGGCAAGCATCTGGGAGATGTGAATCGAAAGCTGTGTTAAAATAAAATTTTAACTATCTTAATCGAAGTGTAGAAGTTTCAATTAGTTTCAAACTATAGTTATCTCCGGTAAACGCAATGTATTACACATTCATATTAACCGGTTTGAAATTTTTGATCTCATTTAAAGTTGATAAAAATTGCATGATGAGAAAGAATGTTAAAACTGAGCGAGATGTATACATTTTGTAGGAGATATATTGTTAAGTTCTCAGTAGAAATTTTTAAAAGTAGATTTCCCATCCAAAACACCAAGTATCTACTATCATTCTTTCTGTTTCTTTCTGAACGATCTATTTTTTTCGTTCTGATTTATAAAGATGTCTATAGATAGGTTTGTTCATATGTCATGTACAAGCTCATGAAGAGAGAAAAAAAGAATCTTGTTGTACCAATGTTGATGTTGTAGTTTTTTTTATGAGAAAAAATATTAATATAGAAATATTTTTCTGGATGAGGAGATGAGTTTCATAAGAACATACATTATACTATGAATATAAGAAAAAAAAAGTATTTGAAATTATATATTTGAAATGTGATTTAATGCCCGAAAATATTTTGAATTTTTTTTTAATTCAGTTTTCTATTAATGATTCAAAAACATCGATTTTGAAATAATTCAAATTCATATTATATTTTTTACTATTGTCCATCATCATCGTGACTGTTTAACAAGAATCGAATAAAAAAAAGCACAATGTATGTCAGATTGTGGATGAGAAGAAGATCTACGCTCACACATACATACACCCTAGCCCGATCAGATATTTATGAGACCTATTGGTGATTGAAATTTTAGCTTGGTTGGATGAACTTGATTTTTCATCTATAATCACGAAAATGGTTTAGAGATAAAAAAATCAAACTCAACTAAGCGAGCTGAAATTTCAACAAGTAATAGGTCTCACAATATAGTAGATTGTTTACTCGTATAGATGATTTACCCTTTGCCAAATGATCATTGGATCAATACGTGTCACTTGATAGGATTGTTTCAGCGACATTGAAATACCTGGCATTTTGATAGCTCTACACACCCATACTCTCAATGTAAAAAAGAAAAATGTTTTTTTTTTGTTGTGAAACCTACTTTTATCTGGAAGTCTTGCACGTTTTCAAAAAGAAGAAACTACGTGGTGTTACTTCGCTGAATGAATATGCACGTGAACTGTTGACCAAGTTTCATTCAAAACAACTGATGTAGAATTGTAGTAATTCTTACTCTAGAACATTTGTTTTGGTTTATCATGGAAGCCGTAGTTGATCTTCTGAACTCAGCTATACATGGGAGACGAATTCTCTACATATGTAAAAGAATCAGAAAACGAAATCAATGACAACAAGAATATTATACAACATTAAAGAATAAGAGAAAAACATCCGATGCGAAAATAATATTAGCAATAGACATCGAGTTTATTGAAATACATTTTCCATTAAACATTTCTCATGAATAAAAATGCATATCCTTGATAATCATGGCTTCTGCACTCTTACACTGAAAAATGATAATCATACAAATGAATAAAAAGAACACAAAAATGTATTGTAAAATAGCAAACTATTTATGAATATATAATAGATAATTTTCCTGATGTTTTTTTATCTTTACTCGAATCAACACCAAATTGTTGTTCGAGTTGGGCTTGTACAGTATCAATAGTTGCTTGTACTATTTTATTTAAGTTCATGGTGTTCTCATTGACAATTAGATCAGCTTCACTATGAAATTCTTGTATAATTTTATGCTTAACTTTGCTCGATGTGACATTGTGACTAGCTAATTTATTCATTTGTTTTTCTTTTTTCTCCTGATAATCTTTTATGTAGAGTCCATTACAGGCATTCGGAGATGCTTTATGTATTTCATGTACAATATGATCATTTTGTCTCTAAATAGTTAGTATAACAACTCTTCACTGTAAAAGAACATATATCTTATAGATATTATCCAATAATTTGCTGGAATTTTCACAACACGTTCTCTAATGAAATAATTTGAGCGGTCAGTTACTTCATCTATAGCACTTTGATTTGACAACAAGCGCCCCATTTTTCTTGTTTTACACTAATCACACAAGAAAATGTTAGAAACGTAAAGAAAAAAAATCATTGACAAATTCCAATGATACTCTCAATAATAAAGATCGAATTTCACTGCTCTCATATCGTTCTTATTCATAGTTATATGTAAACATCAGATCAATTTCTGATTAGACACAGATAATTCTTAAACAAATTCCCTCGAAATTGTTCGTTTAAAATACTCGTACAAGTCTTTTTCATCTTCACCTGTTTAATTCTGTAGTTACTGAATGAGACAATACTGCTATTGAAGAAACATGACCAATAACTCATGTCTGTTGATACTTGTAAACTAACATTTCTATATTAACTTTTCATATATTTACTTATATCAAAATATTGTGTGTGGGTGTGGGTGTGGGTATCGGTATTGGTGTGATTGAAGAGAAACCCACACCTCACCCTGTCTGAATGATTCATCGAACTTTCATTAGAAACTCCAAAACTAAAAGGGATCGAGTTCGTATTCACTAATGCACGACAAAAAAACGAAAATATTATCGAATTTCAACAACGTATTCTTGTGAAAGAATTTATGTGTGTATTTTCTTGCTAATAGACTATTATTTATTTTAGTAGATTATTTGCACCTTGTTTTGTCTTGAAAATGCAACAATTGATTGTTTCTATTTTATTTTCAATCGTAATGATGCTAATTATATGATCGTAAAAAATACAAGAATAACTTGTGATCATTCTTTTTGTTTCTTCTCACAGAGTGTTTTGATTGGCTTTGATCAGAATCTCATAAATATCTAAACCATTGAAGGATTGCATTTTAATTTAATAGATATGGTTTCTCCCGATACAATTTCCAGATGAATTCTCCAAAAAGACTATTAGCCCAAGCGAACCACGGTCGTGTGTATCGCATTGGATTGTTCATGTCGATAGATTCATGCATGAAACCCGTATTAGCATGAGATCTTTGGAGCATGTGCAGACACAAACGGATTTCGTCGTCATCTGTCGATGTCATTCCACGCATGATAATGGCCAAAGGCCATACCATCGCAAATCCAACATGTGGTCCTCCCACTCCTTTGAAGAGACAAGAAGAAGTTTGGTAAATGATGAGTTGGAAAAAAGACTCACCTTCGAGAAACGCTCCTTTGAAAAACCACGGATTGTCACTGCTCAAGATAAACCTACGAGTATTGCGGTATACTGAATGATTCAAAGGAATATCGTCGGGAATTAAATAAGGCAATGAAAGAAGCGATGGTATATTTGCGTCATCCATCAAAACCGAGTTGCCCATACCGTCAATTTCGTAGGCGTAGATCAGACCATACTTAGGATGCTTCAATGTAACTGAATTGAAAGGCTGTTCGCTAGTATCAGTAGTGAAGAGTACTCTATGTAAACTAGTAATTAAGGAAGATATATCATCAAGAAAAGGTTTCGTCCAATTAAGATTTTGAGCAAGTTCTAGTAGAAGTTTCAACGTGTGATGAGCGAAGAACTGCGATGGGACGAGATAGGGATACATTTGCAGATCGTCACTTGGTCGAAAGAACGTGTAAATGAGACCATTCGGTCTAGCTGGATGTCCACGCGGATCACGGGGATAACCTTGCCGTTGATAAGTGTAAGGGCCTGAAAAACAATGTACTGTTGGTTGTAGTTAGATGACACTGTGTCTGGAATCCAATGTATTTTGTTCATGGACAATTGAACCTTTTGCCATGAAATTATATTAAAATTTAGATTAGACATAAAACAAAAACAACATCGCAATTATCTATTGAATAGAACATTGCTATCAATTGATCGAATAAACTAAATAATGAGAGAGAACTGGAAGAACAGCTGAAAACGTAAACTGAGTCAACAGTCAGAACTCACTGCATTAGAGCAAGGAACAAATGACTAGATGAGTATTTGTAGATAATCCTAAGTAATATCAACTTCGATTTCAAAGCTAAAGTCGGTTTTGAAAAATCGACCTGACTCCCAAGCCTTCAAATAAAAAACGTCCTTAAGGAGCCCTCAGGTAAAAAAGTCGATTTTCATAAAAAAAATGTTTTTCTAGTCAAATATGTGAACATATCGCCTAAGGTTCCTGATATACGAATTCAAAAAAAGGTAATTGTGGTTCTCGAAGCCTTTTGAGGGTTTTATTAATCATTTCTGAAGTTGTCTGGACAATATTACACAGTTGATCACAATATGAACTGTACTTTTACTTCATATCGGTTTTATTAAAAAACTATAAACCCTATAATATTCTATAAATTAATGATCACCACCTGATTCATAAGTATCTTTATCACTTGAAACTGATTGCTAAATGCTCAAAAAGTATGTATATAAACAATCAATACAATTTTTTTCAAGAAAAACTTCTAAGCGGTGATATATCAGGACACTCAAAGATATATCACCTAAGAAAAAAAATATAGTAGAAAAGGATGTTCATCAAACGCTTTTAGCAGAAAAATACAAATAAACAATCAAATCACCAAATGTCGATGGCATGAGAATACAATAGAAAAAATAAAATTAAAAAATATAACTACTGTAATTGTATATAAAGGGTAAATTTAGATTGGTGAAGTATGGCCGAATTAAATATTTTTTATAAAATAAAAATCCATATTTCTTCTGAGTTATTGGTAGAAAATAACCGTCATTATATTTTTTTCTAAACTGTAAGGCAATAATTAGATTTAAAAAGGTAATTCGTGACTATTCTGTCTTTACATTGTTGAATGGTATATAACAAATATAACGACAGTGGTAAATAGCGTCATTTACCGTAATGTACATCGTGCGAGAGCAGTCTTATGTACAATAATAGATACCTCGATTGGCACATAATATATTTATGATACATCACCATTTTAAGTAATAATGCGAAAATTATATAAAAACCAAACTTCTTTTGCATTTTTCTGAAAATTGATTTTTCGGTAATTATTCAACTGCTGACTAATCATATTTTTAAATATACTTCATTCCAGTTAGTTGTGCTTTAGTTTTATTAACAGATAGATACATGATGCTTCGGATGAGGGGAAAAGGATTTCTCAATTAATCGTCAATGTTAGGGAAACTCTGAGTTTTCCAGAAGACTGTAGCAACAATTTTAAGACTGTTTCAGGTATCGATGACCCAAAAAATGAAGCAAAGTAAAAATTAGAAAAAAAGCATTCCCTCATCTTAAGTGATCAGAAGTTCTCTTTCCATAAAAAAGTAGCCCGAGCTCTATAATTTGAAGTATAGTGAAAAATAATTTGCTCCAGTAAAAGCCCTATTTAGCCCCTTGACCTCTGGCATCCTCCCACCTGAACGGTAAGGTATGGAAGGGTGAAATCTTTTTTTTATTAATGTATTTTCATGAGACAAAGATCTGTACAAAATTTCATAAAAAATCTCATGGGTTACATCAAAGTTAGGTATTTTATCTAGAGGGCTCCATTGAACAAATGTCGATTCCGATTCGCAAACAGCTCTTCAAAATGACTCTATGTCAAACGATGCTTTTTGCAATATTGATTCGATCAGATTTTCTTTTCAATACTTTTTTTGAAATAAGATCACTTTGGTTGAGTGGGATAGTGATATTACCTAGAGTTCTACAATTTCACGTTGATGAATCACAAATGTTTTGATAAGAGCTAAAAGTCGTATCAAAAAGTTCCCTAGATCAGTCATGTACAATGATGTTTCGAATGCATTTACTGTTCGTCTTAGAAAATCACTTGAGTAATTTCAGATTCATCACCGTACAAGACTCTATAAATTTTCTGTGAAATGCTTACTCAGTGGATATAACTATTTCGTATGTAAGCGTCTATTCATTGCTGAAAGTGGAAGATCAAAGACTTCATTCTTCACTCATATTTCAGAAACTATAAAACTGAATCTTTAAAGAACCATTAATAATTCGTGAGCACCAGTGAGTTGTAGAATATCAATGAGAAACGGTATCAGAAACACCAACTATTTTTTTTTAATTGGTTCTGACTATACTACCTGAGCTATTGAATCTTTGTTGCTGTTTCATCGTCTTCAAAATAATGCGTATAGTTCTCTTCAATATTCGTCTGTTTTGATGAAAAAATTTTGTATCACGATCAACTTCTTTCCAATACGAGTGCATCAAACGTAAAACATAGCACAAAGAATCCAATTCCCATTTGCGCTCATGAACACCAGGACGCATGTCCGTTTGATCCATGCGTTGCCATTCACTAGTTCGATTGGTATATTTATAGTGAGCATTGGCGTATGGATCGCGTTGAATACAGAGACATTGTCGTAATAGAACACCTTCGATCAACAAACGCAGCTGTGCATCCTGTCTCATTAATGGTAAATATGGATGTACTTGTGCGCTGGAATCACGTAACCACATAGCATCGATGTCGCCAGTGATGACATAAGTATCTGGTTGATGTCGGACAGTAGTATTTATGTGAAATTCAACCGTAGTATCTAACGTATTAGGAAAACAATTTTCAAATAGCCATGCAAGTTCTTTGTTTCTGATGTGTTTCTTTATCTCTTTGATCAATGATTCGACTGCTGGACTGATGAATCGACGATCATTAGCGGCACAACGTACTTTTGGAAAGCTGAAATTCATCCGCTTTTTGTTTATTGTCTTACGAGTACTCTTCCAGATATTGATATGTACCTTCATAGTTTCACGACGAGTCTTTTGTAACAAATGCCTCATATACAACACATTCGCTGCAGA